GCCTAGAAAACCAGCTAGTCTTTGTTCTATTTCCTTCAGCATTTTTTTTAACTTTTCTGCATGAAAATTTTTCCTCCTAATTAGAGCAAATAAGACAAGGAGAGTTGATTACTTCTTTCTTTCATCTGATAATGTTATGTGCCATTAGCCTGAGTCATTGGGCTTACCGCTTTCTTGTTTTCCTTCGCCCAAACATGACCACAACTTTTCTTAGTGTCTCCCCATGTTTTGGTTTATTCTGAGCCTTAACCTTCTTGACATCATTCTAAGACTTTCACTCTTCATTTGTACCCCTTTCCTGTTTTACAGATGTCCATGTAAAATTCAATCTCTTGGAAGGCCCACTAAGCATTTTCTTTGGCCTTTGAGATGCCTCTCACCCCATCTCCTCCAAAAGTGAGCAAAGATCATGATATAGAAATTTCATTTTTAAAACCTCTCATCTTTTTAAGCAGAAGTTCTTTAAAGAGACGTTGACTCTTCCATGAACTCTCTGGAAGCTTCTTTCCTAAGATCTAGGAAGTGTAAATCTGATTCTGCCCCTCTCTTTTGCTATTAAAAACTAGAAGGTGAGTTTTTTTATCTTCTTTCCAAGTTCCTCAGACCTTTGCATCTGGAACCCTGTTTTTCCTTCATTAATATTAAGGCCAACATGGAAGATTCCTTCATTTTTGCTTCCACATTCAGAGAGGTAAGTGAGGTGAGTTACATGGTATTTTAGTATAAGAAACATCTTAATAGTGGTTTCAGAAGAATGTGATTCAGTGTTTTGACATTGTTTTTATCCTCTCTAGTGACTTTCATATCTACTTTTCATCAAACAGTATAAATGCTGTGGTTTGGTCAATGGAGCTTCTGACTGGGGAAATAATTTTCAATACTATTACAAGTCATGTGAATGTCCAGATGCATCAGACTCTTCTTGTACAAGTTATAGTGGAAAAACTATTTACAAACAGGTGAGAACATATCAAATTTGGCACAGTAAGTGGCTCTCTTAATTTTCTCACAACAAAAGTCTCTACAAAAAATTAAATTGCAGCATTTTCAAAGGGAATCATGATGTCAAAGTCCCAGGGATTTCCTAAATAAAAAAGAAATCCATATTTAAAGATAAAAGCAGATAGAAAAACTGAAAGTATTTTATTTCTTCTAGGAGTCTGGCATCATTTAAACTCAACTTTAATAGATCACAGAAACATTCTACTGCAAAGTACAAACGAAGAGTTTTATAGAAGTTAATTTTGTCCTCTCTTTGGTGACTTTAACCATGATTCTTCTCTATTTTTTTCTATTTTAACATAAGTTTTAGAAATCTATATTTTCACTTTAATTTTCAAAGGAAAGCTTTCTTTTTCTAATCGCAGTTTCCTTTTCTCAAATAATTGTATTTGGTATAAAGGAACAGCTTGGTCTTTAGAAGTTTCAACTGTGGAAGTTAAGTGTACCTGTCATTTTGCCTAATGATTGCTCCAACTGAGAAGCTGTCTCATACATTTGAGGTCCATTGAAAAAGCTGAGTTTATCTTTTATGTGTTGTAGATGACATGTTTATGTCACTTGCAGCTGTCAACGTGCGGGTGTCGTATTTGCTATGATTGCTTAATCCATCAGATATTCATTGACCACTTCATCTGTGCCAGCCTTTTATCAGCTGCTGGAGATCTACTCCTGAATAGGGCATGATGTCTGTGCTTGTGGCGTGAATGCCGTAGTAAGGAAGAGAGAAAGATAATTAGACAACTCAGTCCAATGAACTATCACTATTTCTTGGGTAAGGGAAGGAACACTATGTGGTGGGACCCCCATCTAACTCAGTCTTTGGGTTTCAAGGTACAGCTTCCTAAAGGACATATCTGTCTCTTACCACAGGGCTTTACATAATTTGCTCCTTTGGCCTGGAAGGAATGTGTACAAAACCAACAATGGATATTAATATTTATTTGCTATTATTCTTCAGTGCCTACTACGTGTCAGACAGACACTTCCTGGAATCACACATGCTTCTGGACTCTCTAGGAGATGATAGTCTAGTTGAGAGAGAGACATGAAAGCTTTTACAGTTCAAGGAATTAATTTCTGTCACATCAGAAAGATTTTTTTTCAATCTAGCATTGGTTTAGTAACAGCTACGGAAGTTAAATATATATTAGGAAACAGAAAGTATCTCGAGGGAAACTTCTCACCTGTGACCACATCTCTTTTACTAATTTTATCAAAATTAAGAAGACTCTGTTCTGAAAGGAAATTGCTGATGCTGATACTAGTATATAAAGTAACATGTTGGGGAGAAGTTATCTACCAGATTATAGGACTACCTGTGTCTTTTACTCATCAAAATAATATCACTAAATTTTATTCTTATTTTTTATGTTCCTCCTTCCTACATAATTTTAGTGACACAGTATCCACAAAGAAGAGGGGAAATACAT